CTAATGTAAGTTATAAGAATTAATAAGAAGCCTGAGTGAATGGGCCAATCAGTTTATGATTAATGTAGACCTCTGTGTGATTTCTTTGGAACTTAACAATTGTGGGAACCGGGCAGGACAGAAAACCTCAGACAACAGTGTCCTATAGGTTTGGGTATGTTGCGCCTTCATTTTTGTTTAATTTTAAGAAGTCTGAATTTCTTTTTTTATTTCTAAATTGAGCACTGTTCAATTTCCACGAGTTTCTAGGCTTTCTGCAATTAGTGTTGCTGTTAAATTCTAACTTTAAACCATAGTGATCTGATAAAATACCGCAGGTTATTCCAATTTTTTTTTTATTTGTTGAGGTTGCTTTGTTACCAAGTGTATGGTCAGTTTTAGAGAAGGTTCCACGAAGTGCTGAGAAGAATGTATATTCTTTTGTGTTTGGGTGGAATTCTCTATAGATGTCTGTTAAGTTCATCTGATTCATGACATCAGTTAGTTCTCTAATCTCTGCTAAGTTTCTTTCTGATTGATCTATCTATTGGCGAGAGTGGAGTGTTCAAGTTTCCTATTATTAGTGTGTGGAGTTTGATGTGCAATTTAAGCTTTATTGATGTTTCTTTTACATCTGTGGGTGCTCTTACATTTGGGGCATAGTTGTTTAGTATTGAGACTTCATTTTGATAGATTTTTCCTGTGATGAATATGAAGTGTCCTTCTGTATCTCTTCTGCTTGATTTTAGTTTGAAGTTTATTATGTTAGATATTTATTTTGTGGGTTTTATTCATTTATTTATTTATCACCACCAAATGCTTGTGCTTTAAGAAAGAATGTATAAAATACACAACAAGATGGTTTTTTAGAAGCATCGTGGAGATAGTTTGCTTCCAGAAAATTGCTGCAAGTTAGAAAAATGAAGGGTAGAAATATGCCAGCTGTCCTGGTCATGAGTTCTGTCCAGAGTCCATGTGAAGTGTCCTGGTCATGAGTTCTGCTGTGTGCAGTTGAGTGTCCTGCACTTTTCGGATAGCAGAGATCTGGCTCTTCCCTAAGCTCTCCTGATCTTTTCTGTGGCCCATTATCCTCTCCTTTATTCTCTGCTGCTGGGTTAGCTCAGGAAGACTTGGCTAGCTCAGGAGGGAGGGTGGAGTAGCAGATGGTTGAGGAGTGTGGGAAGGAGCCTGGAACCGAGGCAGAGTTTGAGTGATACCCTCAGGGATTAACGAGCTTTTTAGTTATGTCTCAGGTGGTAGAAAACAGGACAAGATGGAGGAGCAGAGACTCTTATTGCTAAAAGGATTCTAGATTTCATCAAACTAAGATCCCTTCTCCACCTTCAGCTGTATTTCTTCGGAACTTTAAACTCAAACGAGTGAAAACCAATAACTGACGAAGAAATCTATCTATAGAAATACCTGAGATAGAAATTGCTCTCCCATCTCCAGGGAAGGAATGAGATTGACAGTTTAACGTTGGTTAAAGTTAGGAATACAGCGGTGGTTAAGGAAGTGGTGGGGTTCCTAGGAGTGACAAGGTAGCTTAATACTGTACTCTATTCAATAAAGAAAAAGCCAAGAGACAAGGAATCATGTGACAGTTTCATTTGCTTATGGATTCAATTATCTAAAGTCAATTGTGACCTAAACATACTAAGCAAAAAATTCTAAGTAATCAAAAGTTTCATTTAGCCATGCACAATTTTAAATAAAATTAAAACCAACTTCCATCCAGCTCTGTCCTATGATATCTCTGCATCCAGCATACCCATATGCTATTCATATGTATATGCTACCTTCTAGTTAATCATTTAGTTCATCTCATTTATCAGGTTGACCATCAAAGTATCATAGTTCATGTTCAAATAACCCTTAAGTTAATTAAGAATAGCTATACAGTGCAACAGTCTCAAAATTATGCCATAAAGTATCTTCTCAAAGTTAAAGTAAAATGTATCACATGTATATATGTATGCATGTATGTATGCAGAAAATGTATATAGAGTCAGGTACTACCTAGGATGTTAGACATCCACAGAAACCCATGGGACCTTAAGATATTCCCCAAAGGAACCTTCACCCGTTGATGGATGGAGATAGAGACAGAGACCCACATTGGAGCACTGGACTGAGCCCCCAAGATCCAAATGAGGAGCAGAAGGAGGGAGAACATGAACAAAAAAGGCATGACCGTGAGGAGTGCATTCACCCACTGATACAAGGGGACTGATCTAATGAGAGTTCACCAAGGCCAGCTGGACTGGGATGGTCAACTGCTCCATCTTAAGTTTATTTCTAAGTTTATTTTCTGCTTAGGGTTGTAGGGAAGTCACTTTGTTGTTGTAAGTTCTCAGTCAAAGGCGGCTCATCTGAAAAGACAAATTTTACTGTCAAGGGAATTTGTTAGTGAACTGGAGCAATGGCTCAGTGGTTAAGAGTGATTCCTGCTATTACAGATGACCAGCATTCTGATCCTAGCACCAAGTGTAATGCTGGCTTCAGGGGAACCAATGCCCTTTTCTGGACTCCACTGGTACTCACACAGACACAACTGTACCCAGAAACACAAACAATTTTTTTAATCTCTGAAAAAGAAGACCCTTAGACCTTTCATCTTTTCTATCAGAATGCCATGAAGTGGGTAATGCATAATGAAGAGAAATTTGCTTCCCCACAGTTAAGAAAGCCAGGATGTAGGAGATGAGGGAGTGCCAAGTGCTTTCCTGGTGAGCAATCTCAAGGTGGAAAAGCAAAGAGGATGAAAGAGCCAGAAAGAAGCAACTGCTCTCCTAGGGAGACCTGCTCCCATGGTAACAGTATTGGTCCATTCATGCTGGGTCATTGGCTCCTATGACTCAGCATCTTACCACCCACCAGGCACCCCATTCATTACATTGGCACCTGGGGATCAAGTTTCTCACAGGAACTTCAGGGGATACATTTGAACCACAGCAAAAGACTGGAATTATTTCTGTGTTAGTTAAATTTCTGAGGTTATAACCAAATACCCAAGGCAACCGACCTAAAAAGAGAAAAGATTTATCTTGGCTCTCTAGGTGTTAGAGGTTTCAGTACTTGGTCACTGGGGCCTGCAGCAAATACATTACAATGGAGAGAACAGGGCAAAGGAAGCTCCTGTCACATGGTGACCAGGACCTGAGGAATGAGACAGGAAGAGGCTAGGACCCCCAAATCCTTTTCAGAGACATGCCATCAATGACCTAAGTACTTTCATTGGAACCATTAGTACCATCAGATGTGAACCAAGACTTCGGGACATGGAGCTTCGGGAAAGACATTTAATCAAATTAAAGTACGTTCTGAGGAAGGAAACAGAGATGCCAAACTGGTTCACTGCTACATTAATTGCTGAAGTTCATGTGGAAAATCACTCTAAACATTTTGATTTGTCAGCGAGGACAGAAGGAAATGAAGCAGGTGAGAATCTACTTTTAGTAGTGGGTCTTGATGTGACCCGGAAAACACATTGGGAACTTGTGTTATGACCTTTTGACCTATGGGTCTGTATATTCTGTAATTCTTCTGTTTTCAAGAGTAGTATATGGGCCAGAGTTTCCCAAAGGGTTTATAATAATGGGATATATTAGAGGGCCACGCATATTCAGAGGTCGTATATTTCCAGAGTATCCTTCTGTAGAAAGCCCAGAAAGCCAATGGCTGCTCAGGCCAAGTTGCTGAATGCCTGAGAAAAAAGGGACCAATGATGACACCTCATTCAAGGACTGAGGCCTGGAAGGCACTTGGATCAATCCTGGTGGAAGTCAGTGTTCAAAGTTTCACAAACAAGAGTCTTCATGTGAGTCCTCGTGGAGTGTTCTTGGGAGAGGGCAGCATTACAAACATTCAAGTGGTCAAGTAGGGTTTGTTCATCATGGGTGCTCATGCCAGCTTCCCCCTTCTGCCGTGCTACTGACATTCAGGTTAGGCCTTCCCCATCTTGTTTGCTTTCTCATTTGCCAGTGTCTCTGGATACACTTCCACAGACAGAGGCAGATCTGTGCTTTACCAAGACTAGCAGACGGCCAAGATTAACGAACACAAGCATAAATAAGGAAAATACAAGACCAGCACATTTCTCTTTCATCACAGATGAGAGCTGCTGAACACCTGGGTATGCACACGCTGCCCCAGAAGGCGGGTCCCAAGGGAGCCAGGGATGCATAGAGTGCCTCAAAATGATTTGCCTCCATATTGTAAGTGATCCTGACAGGTCATGGAATGTCAAACCATTTTAGTCTCCGGAAAAACAAATATTCTAAGTTTGCCCATTTGGTTTCTGGTTACTGATTTTAGTTACACTAGTTACTAGGTGCCAGGCATGACACTAGAACAATTTACTCATTCACCCACTTCATCCTTCCATCACCATGGTGATCTGGTAGCAGTATTGTTTCCAGTTTACAATAGGAGAAACTAAAGCAGAGGCAGGGGGTCACTTCCCTCAGGGAGCCACAGCCTAGAAATGCAGGTAGAGGACTATTAGAGCTCCAACTTGGAACTGTGTGTCCATTCATTCAACATCTGCATTTCAAGTCTCTGCCAGACAGCAGGGAGTGTACCCTTATTCTTGAAGGAAAGGAGGTAGTGAATGAAGCAGAGAAAAATCCTTGCTGCTGGGAATAGAAACTGCTCCCTACAGTGGCCTGTGGGTCATAGGGGTGAGGAGAGTGAGGATGGACTATTGAGGCGATAAAGAGGCTGGATGCTGAGGTAAAGGTTTCCTTCTCCAGGGTGAATACCCTCTCTGTTGTAAATCTAAAGACATAAATACTTTCTTACTCACAGCACAAAACTGGTCCCTGAAAGGCTTGGTTCTCTTTCTTTCTTTCTTTCTTTCTTTCTTTCTTTCTTTCTTTCTTTCTCTTTTTTGTTTTTGTTTTTTTTTCTCTCTCTTTCAACTCATTTGTCCATTAAAAGTGACATCAGTTTTACTTTCTGGTTTCGATTTCTCTTCTGTGAGGTCAGCTGCAGAGAAACAGGAAAGGAAACCAGCTGCTGGTAATAAATATGGGTCTGTAGCGCTTCCTTGGGAGTCGGAGGACGAGATTGTCTGCAGCTGCCAACAGCCACTCTGAGTCCTTCAGCACAGCTGAGAGGCACAGCAACCATGAGGTATGTCCTCCTTTCTCTGCTGGTGAGGAGAATGTAGTCAGCCTTGATGACAGATGCAAATCCTAAACAGCCAAGGTCCCAAGAGAGGCCAGTCCTGTTTTTACCTTTCACACCTCTGTCTCTCCAGCTGTCAATCTGTCATAGAGATGCTCAGTGCCTTCCTCCAGATCTGCTTATCTGGCAGCTGAGAGCTGACATCACAGAGTTGTTTCATCTAGGTGAAACTTCTAAGAAAGATAGATCTGGAAGAATTGTTCTTGTGAATTATCTCTCTCTCTCTCTCTCTCTCTCTCCCTCTCTCTCTCTCTCTCTCTCTCTCTTTCTGTCTCTTCCTCTCCCTGCTGCCCGGTTGCAAAATTAAGTTGAGAGTATCTAATAAAAATATTATTTAACAGTGTTTTTTTATGATTTCTTTACTTTTAAAAATGTCCTTAGATTACTAATGCTGCTTCTCCCTCATCTGAATTTTACTTGTAATTTCAGAATTGCGGGAGCATTGCTAACTAAAGAGAGCACTGGGAGGAAGGAGCTTCTCCCATGCACTGTCTCTCAGCTCTGTCTTCTGTCTGGTAACTCTCTCTCTGGCCCAACAAAAACATGTGTGGTTGCAAGGTGTAAGGCTGAAAAGCCTAAGAGAGAGGCTAAATATGGTCAGTACAGTTCAGACATGATCTTTGTCACTTTATGTGGCTTTCCAGCTATCAGTTGTTCAAGTCAGAAACTGCAATATTGCAATACATAGCTGATTCATAAACAGCGTGGAAAAAGTAAGTGAGAATAGACAACATTCCAGAGGCTTCTGTGTTGGGCTACTTTGTTTCCTGCTTATTTCTTTTTCTGTCTGTGGGTCTAAAGGGAATCTTAAAGGATGAAAAAAATCTTTAGGAGTCACAATGGTACCTTGAGGGGGGACAGAAGAGTTCTCTGCCACAGAAAAGGTACTAAACGCCTATAAGCCTCTCCTGCAGCCACACTTCCTATCCCTGGCATAAAATTTATAAACCTGAGAGAATAAAATTCAAAGGGAAATTAAAATAATGATGTGAAAGTATGAGTAAGCTATCAAAATGAGACATCACCAATGTAAGAAGTAGAAATCGGGTAGGGGTATGGAGACTACATTTTATTGTGAAATAAAGGTTTGAGGTATTTCTAGCCTATATAATACAATTAATAGATGAGATATCCCAAAGATGGTAGAATGGGTAAAAATCAAGAATGATTAAAAATAAGATGTAAGCAGTTAATATGAGCTGATTCCTAAAGTACTTTAATCTTATTACAAATTATTCATGTTTATTACAAACAAACATGTTTTTCCTTCACAAGAACAAGGAAATAGAATCAACCTAGATGTCCAACAATGATGAATGAGTAATGAGGATGTGGTACATACAGTGAATTTTATTCAGTCATTAAAAGAAAAAATTAAGGGACTAGCCTCTCCTAGGGATGAGCTACCTAAGCGGTTACTTAGTGTTCAGCCTCAACCCCACCCCCCCGCCACACACACACAAACAGCAAAGGATGGACTCAGTGGATTGTATTTTAGATTTGTGAAGATATATCCAAAAATATGTTTAAAAAAACTCAAAGAAAAAAAGGCTGTTAATTTGAGAGATGGGAAGCATGGGAGGAGTTGGAGGGAGGAGACACATGATTTGCTGGAGGGAAAACAGGGAAAGAGGGAAGTGATGCAGTTATATTTTAATTAATATTGTTATGCTCAGATCACATGTTACCCCCCCCCAACCAACTAGGACCCTGAGTCCTGTATGTAAAAGCAAAGAGCCTTGATTCTTACATAAGTTTGTAAATTCCAACCCTCCATGTGTCCAATATATTGGAGTGATCAGAGAGCCCCAACCTCAGTTGGGGTTGGATTTTTATAGTAGCAAAGGTAGGGGTGACGAATTTCTAAGATTCAGAACCCCTGATTGGCTGACATTTGTCCATGGGTATTCTGGTGAAACGCAATGCATGTGTGCTGGCAGGTGATCCTATCTACAATGGTTAGAATGTTAGGATTTTTTTGGATGCTCTGTTCCTGGGTAGTGTCAGGTTATGGCTTTTCCTGGAACCTGATACTACCTGCTATGGCGGCTGTGCAGCCTGGGGCCCATGTGCTGATAGGCTCCCCTGGGTTCAACATGGCCTGGGCCCCATAATGTTGTGCCCAGGCTGACCTGGGCCCCACAAAAAAATTGTTATTAAAGAACAAAATGATATTATGCAATTTGCAGGGAAATGGATGGAACTAGAAAATATTAAGTAAGAAAATCCAGGTTCAGAATGGCAAACATTGCATGTTCTTGTTCTCATTTGTAAATCTTAGCTTTACATATGTATATAATTATATGAATGCACATAGATGTCAGGGAACTAAAAATAGAGTCAGGATCAGGAAAAGACAGAAAAGAGGCATTAAAAGAGGGTGGGGAGAGGGAGTGTTCCAGAACACATATGATATAAAAAAGAGGGAAAGGGAGTGTACCAGACCACATGTGATATAAAAGATAGGGGGAGGAGGAGAGAGGCACCAGGGCATATGTGATATAAAAGAGAGGGGGCAGACGGAGGGAAGGCACCAGGGCACATGTGATATAAAAGAGAGTGGGGGAGGGAGGCACCAGGGCACATGTGATATAAAGTGAAATTGGGAACACTGCACATGGAGGCTTTGAGAGAGGAATGAGGGCAACAAAACAAAGAGAGAAGAGGGCAGGGAAAGGGGCACCCAATGCAAAGTACAAGATGCAAAATAAAAGAATTTAAAACAAAGATAGTAACTATCATTTAACAATACATGGTTAACAGAGAGAGCATAAGCAGACGAGAATAAAAATATTTAAATAAAAGACACAACTAATGTGATAAATTTCAAGAAGCTAGACTAAACAAAGAAAGCACATTAAAGATATATTAAAAATTGGATTGGGGATGGAGAGACAGATTGGCAATTACAAACAAATACTGCTCTTCTAGAGGAGTAGAGTTCTGTTCCCTGAACCCATATCAGATGACTCACAACTAGCTGTAGTTCCAATTCCAGTGGATACAGTGCCCTCTGCTGGTCTCTGTGGACACCACACTCACATGCTCATACCCCTACATAGATACACACACATACTTTTTTAAAAATCTTGTAATTAAAGAAAAAAAAACAGATGAGTTCCACCATCCTTACTCTTTGCTGGCTGATTACCTAGGAAGTGAGGAGGTTCAGTCACATGCTTCTGCAGCCATGGAATCCTTCTCTGTCAAGATGGCTTTTATATCACAAATCAAAATAAATCATTCTTCCTTAAAAATATCTTAAAATTTAGAATAATGGGAAATAGAAAACAATTGACTTTTAAAAGAGAAATGAAAGAAATAAAGCAGATTTGAATTTCTAAGATACAGAGAATTTAAACTCATCTCTCTGAATGTCAATAGGATACAAACATGTAGTTAAGAGTTTCAAATTTCAATGGTAGATAAGAAGTTAAGAGTAAAGTGATGATATTTTAAATTTATTTTTTAAATTTCATTTTACATTTCAATCATAGTTCTCTGTTGCACCCGTCCTCCCACATTTCTCCCAGTGGGTAAGGGTTCCCAAAGGGAGTCAACAGAGTCTGGTATATTGAATTGGGGCAAGACCAAGCTCCTCCCCTCTGCATTAAGGCTGAGCATGTCATCCCACCATAGAGAATGGGCTCCAAGAAGCTAGCTCATGCACTAGGGATAGACCTTGGTCCTACTGCCAGGGGCCTCTGAGATAGTCCAAGCTTCACCACTGTCTCCCACAATGGAGGGTCTAGTTTGATCCCAGGGAGGCTCCACAGCTGTCAGTCTAGAGTTCTTGAGTATCCACAAGCTTGGTTCTGCTGTCTCTTTAGATTTCTCCATTATGATCTTGACCTCCCTTGTTCATATATTCTGTCCTCCCTCTCTTTGATTGGGTTCCTGGAGCTTGGCCTGGTGCTTGGTTGTAGAACTCTGGGTCTAGTTCCAACAGTTACTGGATGATAGTTGATATATTCACCAATCTGATTAGAGAGGAAGCCCAGTTTGGGCATTCTCTTCAACAATATTAGCTGGAAGTATTAGCTGAGGTCATTTTAGTGGATTCTTGGGAATTTCTCTAGCACCAAGTTTCTCCCTTACTTAATAGTGACTCTGTCTATCAAGATCTCTCTTTCATTGCTCTCCCATTCCATCCCTCTCCCCCCTCGACTATCCCTTTCCCTCTTGTTCTCATTTCTCATCCCCTCCCTGTTACCATAGACCCTTGCCTGCAGTTTACCCAGGAATTACTCGTCTACTTCCCCTTCCCAGGGAAATCCATGTGTACCTATTAGGGTCTTTCTTGTTACCTAACTTCTCTGGAACTGAGGACTGTACTCTGTTATCCTTTGTTTTATGTCATAAATCCACTTACGAGTGAGTACATACTTTGTTTCTCTTTCTGAGTCTGGGTTACCTCACTCAGGAGAGTTTTTTTCTATTTCCATCCATTTGCCTGTCTAGTTCCATTTCATGATGTCATAGTTTTTTTACACCTAAGTAATGCTCCATTGGGCAAATATGCCACATTTTCTTTATCCATTTGTAGGAGGGAGGGGCCCACTTGTTTGCGCCAGCCACCCAGCTAGCTTACACCTGAAATAACCACACAGAAACTGTATTAATTAAAACACTGCTTGGCCATTAGCTCTACCTTCTTATTGGCTAACTCTTACATATTAGTTTAACCCATCTCTATTAATCTGTGTATCACCACATGGCAGTGGCTTATCAGAGATTCTAACCAGTGTCTGTCTTAGGTGGAAGATCCATGGCTTCTCTGACTCTACCCTTTTCCCTCCCAGCATTCAGTTCTGTTTTCCCCATCTACCTAAGTTCTGTCCCATCAAATGCCAAGGTAGTTTCTTTATTCATTAAACCAATCAAAGCAACACATAAACAAAAGTACCTCCTATACCATCCATGCTTCAGTTGAGGGGCATCTAGGTTGTTTCCAGTTTCTGACTATTATGAATAATGCTGCTATGAACATTGTTGAGCAAGAGTCCTTATGGTATGATTGAGTATCCTTTGGTTATATGCCCAGGAGTGGTATTGCCAGGTCTTGTTGTAGACTGATTCCCAATTTTGTGAAAAACTGCCATACTGATTTCCAAAGTGACTGTACAAGTTTGTACTCCCACCAGCAGTGGAGGAATGCTCTCCTGACTCCACATCCTCTCCAACATAAGAAGTCCTCAGTATGTTTGATCTTAGTCATTCTGACAGGTATAAGATGGTATCTCAGAGTCATTTTGATTTGCGTTTCCCTGATGATTAAGAATGTTGACCAATTTCTTAAATTTCTTTTGGCCATTTGAGATTCTTCTCATGAGAATTCTGTTTAGCTCTGTACCCCATTTTTCATTTGGATTATTTTCTATTTTGATATCTAGTTCTTTCTTATATTCTTTATATATTTTGGAGATCAGCCCTCTGTCAGGTGTAGGGTTCCTGAAGATCTTTACCCATTCTGTAGGCTGTCGTATTATCTCATTTACCGTGTTTTTTGCCTTACAGAAGCTTTTCTGATTCAAAAAGTTCCATTTATTGACACTTGTTCTCTGTGTCTGTGCTACTGGTGTTTTATTTAGGGAGTAGTCTCCTACATCAGTGAGTTCAAGGCTACTTCCCACTTTCTCTTCTATCAAATTTAGTGTAACTGGATTTATGTTCAGGTTCTTGATCCATTTGGACTTGAGTTTTGCACATGGCGATAGTTATGCATCTATCTGTAATCTAATACTTGTTGACATCCAGTTATGCAAGCTCCATTTGTTAAAAGATGCTTCCTTTTTCCCACTGTACTAGGTTGGTGTCTTTATAAAAAAAAACAAACAAACAGGTGTTTATAGGTGTGTGGATTAATGTCAGGGTCTTATATTCAATTCCAATGCTCTATGTATGTGTTTTTATACAAATAGAAAGCTGTTTTGGTAACTATAGCTTTATAGTAGAGTTTAAAGTCAGGGATGGTAATGCCTCTGGATGATCCATTATGGTACAGGATTGTTGAAACTATTCTGGGTTTTTCTGTCTTTCCGTATGAAGTTGAGTATTGTCCTTTCAAGGTCGGTGAAGAATTGTGATGGGATGTTTTAAGAAGAAATTCAGTTACTATCTCTAAATAAAAAGCTCCAGGAATAACACTGAAGCTGTACTGGGGTCCACAGACCCTCCAACACAAAGGCAGGAACTAGCTAACAGAAATAGTCTTTCTAGGAAACCCAAATGCCATCTAGGACTGACTCACTTCCCTCTGTCAGTTTTTCTGCCTTAAATGAGCAAACTCTTGTATCATTATAGGTAATTCAGACATATGACAAATACTGAAATAAAAGAAAGGGAAGCGTGTGCCTTGGTTATATTTGGATGAACTCTCCTTAGAAAAAAAGGGATATTCACTGTGATCCCACTCCTTGACAGGTGTCTCCCAAATGACTGTTCCTTTTCTTTTCTGTCCCACAGCGCACCCATAGAGAAATCCTTGGAGAACAGGCTCCAACAGCTAAAATGCCATTTCACCTGGAACTTGAAAGAGAAAGAGGAGACCGTGGATGAGTTTGATAACAGGTTGCTTAACAAGGTTGAATTTCAGAACAGTGAGCGTAACGCCACGAAGTACAACATCAAGGCCTATGTCAAGCACCTCAGAGGTGAAAACGAGGCAGCGCTGAAGAGTTTAGAGGACGCTGAATGTTTCATCCAGCAACAGCATCCTGACCAAGTAGAAACCAGAAGTCTGGTCACCTGGGGGAACTACGCTTGGGTTTACTATCACATGGGCCAACTCTCAAAAGCACAGGCTTATCTTGACAAGGTGAGAGGGGTCTGTGAGAAGTTGTCCAGTCCCTACAGAATCGAGAGTCCTGAGCTTGACTGTGAGGAAGGGTGGGCCCTATTAAAGTGCACCAAGAACCAAAATGAGAGAGGGAAGGTGTGTTTTGAGAAGGCTCTGGAAAAGGACCCGAAGAACCCAGAATTCACCTCTGGATGGGCCATTGCAAGCTACCGTCTGGACTACTGGCCAGCATGGCAGGACTCTATTGGTTCCCTGAAACAGGCTATTAGATTATCTCCTGACCACCCTTATCTTAAGGTCCTCATGGCACTGAAGCTTGAGAGAATGCATGAAAACCAAGGACAGAAACTAGTTAAAGAAGCCTTAAGGAAATCCCCATGTGCAACAGATGTGCTGCTCAGTGCAGCCAAGTTTTATTACAAGACACATGACATGGACAGAGCTATAAAGCTACTTAATAAGGCTTTAGTCAATCGGCCATACAATGCCTATGTGAATTACTATATTGGGTGCTGCTACAGGTCAAAAGTCAAGAAAAGAGATCATAGAAGAGAAACTGTATTGAGTAAGAATCAAAAGACGTTTCTAACACACGAGGCAATTAAACACTTAAGGAAAGCAGAGGAGAACAAGGAGATGCTGAAACGATCCTGTAGCTACCTAGCTGGACTTTATGCCATGGCAAACCGGTATGAAGAAGCTGATTATTACTACCAGAAAGAATTCAAGAATGTTCTCTCACCAGGCCTTAAGCAGTTGCTCCACCTACAGTATGGCAATTTCCAGTTGTTTCAAATGAAGTGTGAAGACAAGGCCATCCACCATTTTATGGAGGGTGTGAAAATAAGGGTGGAGACAGATACTAAAGAACAGATGATAAATAAACTTCACATAATTGCCCTAAATCGACTTTCTGAAAATGAATTTGACTCTGAGGCCTTGTATATCTTGGTGTTTCTTCGGGAGTTGAATGAAGAAGACCAGCAAGCGGCTAAAGAAGCTGAGAGAGTGCTGGATGCTGAGAAGGCTGCTCCTTCAGCATCTTTGCATGAGGATGGGGACCAGTAGGGGGTGACACGGTGCCCACAGTGCTACTGCTGGCAGGAAACTGAAACCCTTACCAGTGGCCATTCAATGTATTTAGCAACTTCATGGACAGGAACCCTTCTATCAAATGTTAGCACCTGAATTGCTGGATCTGGGAGAGCTTTGAGAGAGGAACCAGTTGAAGCCATAGACACAAGAGCCTGGCAAACAACCTAGATCGCTTTTTATTTCTTAGAAATAGTTTCCATGGGGGCTGGAGAGATGGCTCAGTGGTTAAGAGCATTGCCTGCTCTTCCAAAGGTCCTGAGTTCAATTCCCAGCAACCACATGGTGGCTCACAACCATCTGTAATGAGGTCTGGTGCCCTCTTCTGGCCTGCAGACATATACAGAGACAGAATATTGTATACATAATAAATAAATAAATATAAAAAAAAAGAAATAGTTTCCATGGTAGCAATTCTTTAATCATCCTCTTTGGATGCTTCCCATGAGTTTGTTTCTGTAATTATTCAAAGCAGTCAAATTCCTCACCTGGGTGAGTTTTCCATCCTTGAGTTATTTTAGCAATTGCACAGCCTTGTTCTACATAGGTAACAGTGCCCATCTGAAAACTCAGGAGCCAGGGGCAGTTGCTCAAGACAATAATCCCAGCACCTGGGAGCTGAGACAGGAGGATTACCGTGAGTTGGAAGTCAGTCTAAGCATGACCTGGAATGGATGGTGGAGGGTGGTGAGAATTATACATGCAAATATTTAATGATTATGTACATTATCTTGTTAGTTTGGATTGTATACGCCTATATAGCCACTATTAGCACACATTTCTAATGCACAGAAGGTAGGGATTTTGTTTTACTGTATAATTTCAAAGCTTACAAAATCGTGCTCAATATTAGTTGAGCTCAAAATAGAAACTGAATGGTGAGTTCCAGGTCTAAAAGCAAACAACAACAACAAAAAAAAAACCAAAAGCTGACGGACAAAATCCTTCCTCCAATTTACCAGCCAGTCATCAATTTACAATGTCCCATAAACATGAGTTTATTTGCAACATTAGCTCAGATGGCAACATAATTGGAAAACTGAGAACAGAGAAAGTAAGAAGGGCCGTATCTGTGCAAACCAATAGAGTCAGAAGATTATATTGTCGGACTTGCGGGAGGCACATGGGGAGACTTCCTCCCAGCTCTGTTCTCCCTATGAGTGTGGAGCTCCATGAAAATCAGAGGGTTCTGTCTACCATAGTGACAACTGAAATAAATATTTATTTCAATCTTGAGCGGGAACTCCAGTGGAGACGAAGAGAATGTTGATTCATCCTTGGTCATTATAAAGCCATGAAAAAACAGTTTATAGTCACTATTAGGAAGATGTCCCTGTCGTATGAATGCCTCATTATTCAACAGTGCTATAATGAACCCGCATTAGAGATGCTAGGAAGGACACTGGGTGGGAGAATAACTTGGTAACTGAGGCCTGGTGGTAGGACTAGGAAATGGGATGGATACTGGAGGGAGAATTCTTTCCTCCATTAGAAATGTTGCATACCAAGGAATATAAAAACATTTTGAACTCTGAAAAATACTCAGGAACATCACGAAACTGATAACCGGTGTTTCCTTGGTAGATCTGGAATGGCCTAAACATTAAGGTTGATGTGCAGAGCAGAGAGGCGATTGAACCAACATGAGACTGACAACCACGTCTAGGGTAGAAAATGTTTCTCTATTGGCATTACTTAGCTTATAAGTATATATAAATATTTTTTAGCCATTAAAATATATTAGATTAATAGGTTGTTAAAACTGGACATTCTGATAGCTGTAACAATGTTCCCTGTTACTTTAAATATTAAAGGGTTTTGTATGCACTTAAGTCCATCAGTAGACAGCATTTGAATTTCTTTGTTAATAAATAACACATGATAGAACATTGAGCAGTGTTCTGGCTGAATACAAATTTACTGTTCTCTCACTGTCTTAAACTTAAGTATCATAATAAAGAGTGGCATTTATTATTTTGCTGCCTGAAGTGTCTGTTCTTTTTATATTTGATGTCTGATATCTGCACAGGGACACACTTGATCTTGACTTTTATCCTGTTTCCCTTCCTGTTGCTGGGACAAAACACAGACTAAAACAACTTGAGGGTCTATATAGCTAACAAGTTACAGCCTATTGTTGAGGGAAGCCCAGACAGAAATTCAAGGCAAGAACCCAGTCAGA